GAGGAGGAGGAGGAGCAGGAGGAGGAGGAGGAGGAGGAGGAGGAGGGGCAGGGGGAGGGGGAGGGGGATGGGGGAGGAGGAGGAGAAGGAGGAGGAGGAGGAGGAGGAGGAGGAGGCGGAGGTGAGATGAGATGAGAGCAGTCGCGAAGCGAGTATACAAGACACGGCCCCCTCTCTGAGCTTCGCCGAGAAGGCGACGACATGGACGTGCCCCACGACGAACAACTTCCACGCCAGCCAGGGACCTGGAATGCGTTCGCTTTATTTCATGTACCTCCGCACTCCAATCTGAAACATTCTGGACATACCACCCAACCATCATTGATGCTTGCATTCTGCGTTCAGAGGTGAGTCGATACTTTGTGCACTCGAAGCAGCAGCTGTTCCGAAAATAGACGAAAGAGCGGGTGATGGTGGAATCGAAGCCAGGGAGGCAAGAGCAGCGCCAACAGCTTTCGCATAGCTCGCCTCCTTCGCCGCCCGCTCGGCCTCAGAGAAGACTCCCTTCGCCAGTCTCGGCGCCCGTCTCTCGCCGTCCACCCCAGCAGCTGGAATCCGCGCTTCCGACGTGTCGGGCTCGCCGTCGGGCCAGGCGCCACAGCCGTTCCAGCGCTCCGTTCCATATTGAGCAAATGTGGAGTTGGCAGAGGAGCAGGAGGAGGAGAAGGAGGATGTGGAGGAGGAGGAGGTGGAGGAGGAGGGCGAAAAGCAGGAGGAGGAGCAGGAGGAGAAGGAGCAGGAGGAGGAGGGGGGACTTGGAGAGTTCCGACGTTGTTTGCTGTGTGTTGCTTCTCTCCCAGTCTCACCTCAACAATTGGGGCCTTCCAGGAAGCCCCAAGCAGGAAAGAACACGGGCAACCCATCCTCGCCGTCATCCCCCATCTTCTCCTCCCTCCGCCTCCTTTTCCCTCCTTATCCTCCTCTCGACGGCTGCCACGGGGGCGGATAGCCTTTGGCGGAGCATGCTGTGTATCCAGGGGCTCTAGCATGCTTTTGACGAGGCTCCTGGGCGAATGCGTGTAATGCCCTCCCCCGGAAGCTCGCTCGAAGGCAATCCTCGGACCCCTCGCGGGCACCATCCTGACAGGTTGTTCGAGGAGCCGCGTCGAGGGAGCCTCTATCGGGCAGTCCTAAGATAGGAGTAGATCGTTCCAGAGCGCTCGTGGCACGCAGTCAGAGCGTTCCACGCTCTGAAGCTCCTTACCCTGCCCCTTGTCTTGCTCCGCCCCCTGGCATGCCAGCCAGGTCCACCAACATCGCGGAGTCGAGCGTCACGATCTCAGACGTGGTCTACGTGGTGGACTCCTGCAGGCCGCCCGTGGCACTCTGGGAGCCCCTGGCCCCCGAGCCTCGTGCTTCCATACTGAGCGTGTAGCTTCCCTTGCCAGGATGAGGATTGCGTTCGGCACGTTCGAGACACTCCCAGCTGAGCAACAGACTGAGGGGCCCCGTCTCTGGCACCCAGGCCCTCGCCCGCCCGCTCCAACAGTCCGCAGCGTCCTCCGTGTCCAACATGCTCCGAATGAGAGAATGGCCGCCTTTGTAGCAGATGCAAGTGGTCGACCTCCCTCGCCCAGGAAGCGGCTCAGTTGGATTTCTCCGTGTTTCTCTGTAGGCACCGCGGATGTTGTGTTTGTGTCAGAGGAGGGGGAGTTGAGACAACGGCAGGTGGCTTTGACTGCCCCCCTCGTTGCGACGGTTGTCGCAGTTCGAACAAACTGCGCGTTTGGACCCCCGGAGGAGTCCCAGGACAGATTTTGAGTTGCCGTTGTCCCAGCTCGCCCTGCTCCGATTGTTGGTCTTCCCTCGTGGGCAGCAAGCAGGTGCCATCTCGAAGGGGTTGGCGCCTGCGGGACCCGCTCGCTTAAGTCTCACACTGGGCTGAAGATTTGGTTCCGTGCCTCCTGCGGGCAGCTAGCAGCTCGACAGCTGTCCCAGTTGGACCAGGAGCGTCGGCACGCTCGTGACGGTTATCCTACGCCTTATTTGATGTGTAGTCACGTGGTTCATGGCCCAAGGTTTGCAGCGCAGCTGAGCTCCTCAGGCGAAGCCCGTGAGATAAGCTCGAGTGGCAGGCAGCGGGCCTCCCAGGGCGTCATTGGCGGGCCGTGCCCGGCTCGGCTATATATGCGGCCGCGCGGTGAGGCGCTGCACGCTCCGAGCGCGCAGCGTCCCCTCGCCTTTGCCGGGCGATCGGGGGGAAAAAAAAAACCAGGACGGCGTGCCAGAGGTCTCATCCGCTCCCGAAAATCGTGCAAAACTTCTTGAAAATCGTGTAGGAACTCCTCTGGTGGCCTCGAAATGGGTTTGGGACGCCCAACGAGCGCTCCAAGACGCCCAAGGTGGCCCAAAGACGGGCCACGACGCGTCCTCGACGGCAGAAGAGGTCCCCACGATCCCCCTGGCCCGGGCATCTCTCTAGGCCTCCTCGGTGGGGCCCGAGCAGAGGGGGTCGGAGGATCGCGCCGCACCGCCGATGCGTCGCCGGTGCGGAGCCCGATGCGGAGCCCGATTTCCTTCACGCGGACGTGAACGATGCATCGCCGACGTCGCCGATGCATCGCCGGTGCATCGCCGATGCATCGCCAATACATCGCCGGTGCATCGTCGATGTATCGCCGATCGGCGCGATCGTCCGACCCAATCTACTCCGACCCCATCTAAGAGGCCTCTAATCTCGGACCTGCATGGAGGCAGTTCTGTTTGTCTTACAAGCATGGTGTAACGTAGGTCCGCGGTAGATCCTCGAGGACCTCGTGTTTCATCGTGATTGATTTTGTTCCCCGTGTGATGGGTCAGTGGAGTCTTCGATTAGGTAAGCCTGCACTCGGATTGCAACCTGGATCTTGACTTGGAACTTCGCCCAAAAACCCTCTTCATCTAACTCTTAATCTACCCTGGATTGGACAATAATCGCCCCCCCTAGGATCCGCGGGGGGGTTGGGCACGTGCTGTCGGAACGGGTGGAGTGGGGGATGGAGGAGGAGGAGGAGACGGAGGAGACGGAGGAGGAGAAGGAGGAGGAGGAGGAGGAGTAGGATGAGGAGCAGGCGGAGGAGGAGGAGGAGGAGGAGGAGGAGGAGGAGAAAGAGGAGGAGGTGGAGGAGGAGGAGGAGGGAAGGAGGAGGAGGGGGAGGAGGAGGAGGTGGAGGAGGGGGGGGATGGGCAAGCTCCGTCGGAAGGTTAGTCGCCCACCCCTCGATGCATGTCCCATCCAGAGTATTGGAATCCACTGCCCCTCTGTTATGAGGCCGTTGTATAGGAGAGGGAACAGAGGACAGAGTGTTTACACAGTTTTGAGGAATTAGTGAATTCAGTATGGGTCCGGCTTGAAGTGCCTCGAAGAAAGCGCGCGCACCCGAATCGCAGACATATGGCTATATGCGGACCCAGGACACTTTGCTTCCCGTCGTCGTCCTCGCCCTTGCTCCGTTCCCCTTCTTTCCTCCCTCCCCCGGATGGTGTCGAAAGCGTCCGCGGCTCGGGCGGGGGAGAGCCCCTTCCCACCTCCCTCATTATTCCTCGTTCCTCTTTGCCTCCCTGCTCCACCATCCGTCGTCCTACCTCGTCCACCCTCCTTGTTCGAAAAGTGAAGTCCCTGGCGCCGCGTGCCCGCGTCAGCGGTAAATGCTTTTTCGATATCCGAGCACAGCGGCGCAACCAAACAGAGGGGATTGCCAATGCGAGATTTCGGGGCGCACCCAAAATGCGGGCGGCACGGCCGCCGAGCACAGTCGCATCGCTAACATGTAAATTATAGGTGCCTGCGGCAAGGTCCGCCCCCCTGGCCAGAGTAGTGATCTATATGGCGACGCGTGGAACTTTGACTGTTAAGAGGTCCTTGACATGTGACATCTCTCGTGTTTTCGGATTGCTGCGCGGCATTATTTGGAGTCCTTCGAGGCCTTTTTGGGACGTTTTCGGGCCGTTGGGGGCCGCTTTGGCGCCGCGTTGCACCGCGGCCGCCCTGGGCCAGGGGAGCGTGCATTTGCGGTTCTCTCGGGGGCGCCCTGGGCCGGGGAAGTGTGTATTTGCATCCCCCCCCCAGCTGGGCATGTCGACCCCGGTTCTGGGTTGGCATAGTCGGGGCGCCCTCGAGGTGGCGAGCGTTCACCTTTTCGAAATACACAGATCAAGGTGTGATCTGTGTACACAGTTTGTGTCTTCAACTGTGTATTTTCGTGTGTGGGCCCGCTGTTTACACAGATCGTGGTGTGATCTGTGTACACAGATCTCGTTCCCATCTGTGTATTTGGAGTGTGCCCCTCGCGGGTGGTGTTGAATGGATGGGAACTTTCGCGTTTTTCTTCCGGCTGGTCCAGGGGCGGCGTCGTGCGCGGTCGAAATACACAGCTCGTGTCTCCAACTGTGCATGTGTTGCGCGCCTCCCGCTGGAGTGGTCGTTGGGCGGGAGTTTCCGCGGGTCTCCTGGCTGGTCCAGGAGGGGGCCGTGGTCTGGGCATGCAAATGGCGCGGGGGGGTGGGGATGGTGGGCTGTGGGAAGGAAGGGGTTCGATAGGAGGGGTGGCCGAGGGGCCAAGGATGAACGCGACTGGACGAGAGCGGAGGAAGAGAGCCCAGGAGGATTTGCATCATCGGCGTCAGCATCACGAGGGCGAGGGAGGTGGGGGGGGGCAGAGATTGGGGGCATGATGTGCACTAGGGCGTAGAGGATGGGAGGAGGAGGGCAGGCATGTAGACGATGGGGGAACGAATCCGGCGCAGGAGGACGACGACGAACGACGTGAATTGACACATGGGGGGGGGGCAGTGTAGATGAAGGGCATGATGAGGACCGGGGCAATCGGAGGGGCATGAGGAGGGTGGGGCCGCAGCGAAGTGATATTTGGAAAAGGCGGGGGATGGCACGAGTTCGAGGCGGGCGCCAGCTAACGATTACTTGAACAGTGTTTTGCGTGTCCGCGCACCCCGAGAGCACTCTGACTGGTTGCAGAACTTCATGATCTGGGTAATCGTGCGCTTCGTGCTTCCAGGCCAAAGGCTCGAGTCCGCGACGCCCGTTGGCGTCGCGATGATGCCACCCCGATCTGCCAGACCGCATATGCACAGATACGCAGAATATGTGTTGCAACGTTTGTTTCATGACCCTCTCTATATTAACAGACCCACGTTGGAACCCAACCAGAGTAAGTGTTCGCTCGCTCGTTCGCTGTTTCCCTCTTCCCTTCAGGTAGAGGAGGACACGCAAAGTAGCCCTTCCGGGCCCCGGCTGCTGCTCCAACACGCCTCGTGCCTTCACGCCTTGCCGCGGAACAGTCCTAACCAACCCAGAAAAAAAACATGTACAAAACGAGTTGTTCTGTCTTGGTTGTGTCTTGTTTTCCTATGCCTTCGAGGTGGGGGAGGTGGGAGCGGGCGGGCGGAGCCCCCCCCCCAGGCTCGAGGCGGGGATGGGCCAGGAGAGCGGGAGGGCCTGGAGAGAGCCGATCGTGCCCACCGGAGGCGGCGCAGCAGCGACCCCCCCGGGCCGGCGCAGGGGTCGCGTGGGTCACGGCTGCGGCTGCGACAGCGGCACCCCGGGGAGGAAGAATCTCAAGGGGATTTGGGACACACAAATAAACACACACAAATAACAGGATTCCCCATCTCTTCTTCTATTTTCTTGATCTTTGTCTTCTTTTCCCACATATGTTCTGGGGAATCGACGATTCACAATGGTGTCTGTGTGTTCGTTCCTTCCCGAGAATCGGCGGCCCCCAAGCGGTGTGCTCGGGCGACCGGGGCTTCCGAGGTGCCGAGGCCGTGCGGTGACGGTCCGCGCGCTGACCTGGCATCGCTCGGAGGTGTGTGTGTGTGTTTTTTCACGGCGAGGCTGGATCGTCGAGAAAAAATGATGGGCCTGTTTCCCACCACCACCACCACCATAAAGTTGGATGGGGGACAGCAGGAGGAGGAGGGGGAGGAGGAGGAGGAGGAGGAGGAGGAGGACTCCCTCCGCCTCCAACTTATGGTGGTGGTGTTGGTGGTGGTGGAAAACATGCCCATCAAAAAAAGCACGCACGAAACCGAAAAAAGCACAGGGAATAGACGTCCGAGCGATGGCAAGTTCAGATCTCTTGGGATCCCCAGGTCGCCACGCGGTCCGTCATCACACGGAACCGGAAAATGCACGGGGAATAGGCGTCCGAGCGATGGCAAATTGAGGTCTCTTAGGAGTCCCAGGTGGCCACGCGGTCCGTCACCGCAGGACCCCCGTAAGAACGGGGAGGGGGAGAGGGGATATTGGGGTCCAATTCTTGGGATGCAGCATCGAGGCTGGTATATCCGTGGTCGGACGCATCATTCATCGGGTTTGATGCCGTGCCTGAATCGGGCCTCATGGCTCCTGAGTCAGGCTTAATAGCTCGTCCTTGTTCGCACGAAGACTTCCCAGGAGTCGCCTCCTGAAGGAGGGCAGGAGGGAGGGATACCAGCTTTCGCCGACGCCGATCCTGGCCAGGCTGGTCCTGGGCTCAGGGTCGGTGCACGCGCGGGAGGGCTGACCTGGCCAGGAGCCAGGGTCCTCATGAAGGAAGTTCCTCCCTGAACAAAAGGATGAACAGAAACCTCTGGATGAAGGACCCGCCAGTCGGCGCCTCCAGCGCCGCCGCTGGCGCGCTCTGCGCGCAAGAGGGGGGGGCCCAGCGCTAACCCAACAGATCTGCAAGGAGCGCGGAGCTCCGAAAGTCGGAGGCGTAATCCGACCCCTACTCTCGCCGATCAACGATGCAGGCAAGTCGCATGGCGGAGGGAGTAGAGTGCGGATCCTCGACCGCGTGGCGAAATCCGAGCCCTACCCCCGCCTCCCATCGATTCAGGAGAATCGATAGTGGGTGGGGGTAGGGTTCGGGTGTCGCCACCTATGACGGTCTATGGTTGTGTTCTTTGTTGCTTTCTCCACCACTGCCGCTCCCGCTGGAGGATGTGAGCGAGCAGAGAGATCCCAGAGCCAGGAGGAGAATCTTGGGGGCCTCGAACGGTGGGCAATGGCTGCATCGTCTGGTCCACAGGCCCGCCCCGTCAGATTTGTGCCGGCGCTCGCTCGGCGATGGGGCGATGGTCCGATGCGCGACCGACGTAACATCCGACGTGGATCCGACTGACGGGGGCGGACAGAACCCCCAACAGTGACACGTCGATGTGTGAATTGTCCGTCTTCGGTTCTCGAGAGGGCGCCGAGGCCGTTATTTTCCAGGCTTGCGCCCGCCAGGTTTGGGCCTCAGGTCGTTTTCACTAAACCACGTTTTACTAAAGGGAGGTCTGTCCATCCCGGAGACAGACGTCCGTCGCAATCCGGCGTGAGCCCGACTCACATCCTACATGGATCCCACGTAAGTTGGGTCTCGAGTTGCCGCGCGAGGTCTCCAGGATTCGCCTCATAAGGAGGAGAGCAGAGAGATCCGGAGCGGCCTCCCCCGAGGGTCAAGCAGCTCATGCCCATCCAGTCCCCCGGCGGCAGGACCGGCGCGCGAGCCTCTCCAGCTGCGCGGGCATCTCTGGGGGGGGGGACCGAGATGGGTACGGAGGCACAGGCGGAAGTCGACAGACGGTGGCCAGGCAAAAAGTGCCCTCACCCAAGGCACGAAGATCACATCATAAGTTTCTGAAGAACCTCCTATGATCTCGATGAATATGTAGTTCTGACGCCCCCCACCGTTTTCGCTCGGCGGTGAATGGGACTGGTCCTAAAACATCTTCCTCCTCCTCCCAGCACCAGCACTGAGAACTACTACGATACTACTACTACGATACTACTACTACTACTACTACTACTACTACCACTACTACTACTACTGCGACTACGACTACTACTGCTACTACTACTACTACTACTACTACTACTACTACTACTACTACTACTACGACTACGACTACGACTACGACGACGACTCGTACGACTACTACTACTACTACTACTACTACTACTACTACTACTACTACTCTTACTACTACTACTACTACGACGACTACTACTACTACTACTAGTACTACTACTAGTTCTACTACTACTACTACCACTACTACTACTACTTCTACTACTACTACTACTTCTACGAGTACTACGACTACGATTACGACTATGATTACTACAACCTACACTACTACTTTTACTACTACTACTACTACTACTACTACTGCTACTACTACTACTATTACTACTACTGCGACGGCGTCTTCTACTACGACTACTACTGCTACTACTACTACTACTACTACCACTACTACTACTACTACTACTGCTACTATTACTACTAGTACTACTACTACTACTACTACTACTACTACTACTACTACTACTACTAGTACTACTAGTAGTACTACTACTACTACTACTACGACTACTACTACTACTACGACGACTACTACTCCTACTACTACTACTACTACTATTACTGCTGCTACTACTACTACTACTATTACTACTACACTAGTACTACTACCACTGCTGCTACTACGACTACTACTACTACCTCTACTCGCACTACTGGTACTACTATGACCACGACTACTACCACCAGCACGAGAAGTACTACTACTACTACTACGACGACTACTACGACTACGATGCCGACGACTACTACTACTATTACTCGTTTGATTACGACTACGACGAGAGCTACGATTACGAGTCGTAGTGCGACAATTGTGACACATACAACTACTACTACCACCACTACACGGTTGCCATCAGTGAAAACAGTAGTAGCCTTTTGTAGTACGAGTAGTACCCTTGTTCTAGCAGTACGAGTACTACTATTAGTACCACGATGCCTTCTACTTTTATTCCTTCTCATCGCAGTAATAATGATACGATCAATACTACTTCTAGTAGTACTGCTACGCATACTACGAGTACGGCGGCTACTTCAACAACATTACTACGAGTAGCACTACCACTGCTTCCATCGTGTACTTTTACTATTCCCACTGCTGCTACTGCTACTTCTTCTACCACCACTGCTACTACTCGTACTACTACTACTACTACTACTACTACTACTACTACTACTACTACGACTACTACTACTACTACTACTACTACTACTACTACGACGGCTACTACTACTACTACTGCTACTACTACTACTGCTGCTGCTACTACTACTACTACTACTAGTGCCACTACTTCTACTTCTACCACGACTACTACGGGTAGTATTGCGACGTGTACTGTTGCATCTATTGCTACTGGTACTGCGATTACGACCAGTATTGAACCTACGACCCCCCCCCCCTGGTACTACGACTACACAAGTCATGCCATTACCATGACGATTACCATCACTGCCCCGACGAGTACGATTCGTAGAATTTCTTATGTTACTTGTACTACACCCACTACTACCTCTACGGGTACTCCTCCTTCGTTTACTACCATTGATTTTCCAATTACGAGTACTGTTACCATTCTACAATGTGACTACCGCAATTACTACGACTATCATTTCTACTACTACTAGTACTACTACTACTGCTACTACTACTACTACTACGACTTCTACTGGTACTATTACTTGTTACTGCTACTGATAATACTAGTGCGGCTACTACGACCACTGACACTTCTACTACTACTACTGCTGCTGCTGCTGCTACTACTACTACTACTACTACTACTACCACTGCTACTACTACTACTACTGCTACTACTACTACTACTGCTACTACTACTACTACTACGACTGCCAGTTTTATAGCTACTACCAGTACTCGTATTCTTATTACTATTACTACTGGTGCTACCACTGCAACTACTACTAGTACTACTACTACTACTACTACTACTACTACTACTACTACTACTACGACTACTATTTCTATTACTACTACTACTCTCACTACTACTAGTACAACCACTACTACTACTGCTACTACTGCTGCTACTACTCCTACTACTACTACTACTACTACTACTACTACTACTACTGCCACTACTGCCACAACTGCTACTACTACTGCTACGACTACTACTACTACTACTACTCATACTACTACTACTACTACTACTACTACTACTACTACTACTACTACTACTACTACTACTACTACTACTACTACTACTACTACTACTACTACTATTACCACTACTACTATTTCTGTTACTACTACTACTACTACTACTACTACGCTACTACTGCGACTATGGCTACGACCTCTATCGTAGTAGTCGTGGTCGTCGTGGTCGTTCTCGTCGTCGCGGCGAAGATACATGGTTTCTCTTTTATTTTGCGGCCTGGATAATGTTGGGGGTCTTCCTCCCAGGGAAGTGTGTAGTTTGGGTTACCCCACGCGCGGGAGGACATGATAGCATCCTCCCATGAGGAGTGCAATCGGTATCAGTAGTCGTGATTTTAGTCGTGATTACTATCGTGATTGTACTCGTGGCACTAGTCGCGATTGTACTTAGAATCGCCTATGTGGGCGTAGTCGTAATCGCTATGGTAATCTGAGTCATTGTCGTAAGCGTCGTCGGCGCGGCAGAGTTTATGTTTCCTCTATTGTTACGCGTATTGCGTAATGTTTGGGGTTGTATGTTTCTCCCAGGACATCGTGCCCACTGGGCCACCATGTACGACAGAGGACTTTTGAACACGTTCCTACGAGGAATTCAATCTAGATCAGGAGTTCAATCTAGATCGATCCATTCTTCGCCGATGGCGTTGCCCACAATCTTTCTGATGATGGAGCTTCTGATGATGAAGTTTCGAAGGGCCCTCGTGGGACCTGAGCTTCAACTATACCTCTGAGGATGAAGCTGCTGAGGATGATGCTTCTGAGGGTCAAGTTTCAGAACTCGGATTTTCTGTGAGAGCGCTCCTGAGGCATTAGTACGAGTAGTCGTCGTAGTCGTAGTCGCAATCGTCGTCGTGGCTGTCGTCGTCGTTGTTGCGCGGCAGGCGCCGCGGGAACAATTACTGGTTACCCCTTATCGGTTGGAGCCCAAATCCTTCAATCAGGCCGACGGCAAAATATGTAGCTACCCCCTATTGGGGGGAGCTTTCAAGAGTTTATCAAGGTTTCAACCTATGCTATGCCCCACCAGCCCACAGCTGAAGTGCCCACGATTTGTGGTTCGCGAGTTGCCTCGCACGCAGCGCTGTCAACTTTGTGAGTGAGTTGGAGATGAGGGGGCTGTCGATTGTTTGGATGCACTTCGTCGTAGCGCTGCTATGGCGCGGTGGGCATGCACAGTCGTTGGCCTCCAATCGCAGGGCCGCCTACGATCCGATTCCATGCCATTCGATTCGCCGGCCGGGGCTGCGATCCCCTTTCGATCCGATTCGGTATGATCCACCAGCATCGGGCAGGGCCAGGCAGAGCCGGTTGCAATGATCTGGTTCCGATTTGATTCGGGACGATTCGCTAACGTTTCGTTTCGTTTTCGATCCGACCTGAGTCCGCGATTCGATCCAGCTCAGGCCCGACGGGCTTCCCAGGATTGGCTGTCTGCGCCGCCGTGGGCGTTGACCGTTCGGGATGGGCGTCGCCCGCCCAAGAGCGGGCCGCTGCTGGTTTTGAGACATCCTGTGTTGTGGGGCGCATGGTCATTCCCCTCCCCCTCCCCCTCCTCCTCCTCTTCCTCCTCCTTCTCCTCCTCCTCCTCATCCTCCTCCTCCTCCTCCTTCTCCTCCTCCTCCTCCTCCTCCTCCTCCTCCTCCTCCATGGTCCCCGCTTCTGTCCGTGCCCACGGCGGGTGTGCCAGGCTCGACTGCAAGTACCCATCGGTCATTGAAAGTAGGTTGTTGTTGGATTCCCAGATTCACTTTCTCCAGAGAGGCTTGCCCTATAGGAGTCCTAGCTCATCATAAGTAATTGGATTTTAGGACTCCCCCCTTTTTTCCAATGGCACCCCCCCTTATTTCCAATGGCACCCCCCTCACCCCCTGTTTCTAATGGCCCCCCACCTTATTTCCAATGGCACCCCCCAGCTATGTTCAATGACACCCTGCTCTTGCGTGCTTGCTCTCGCTTGCTTGCTCTTGCTTGCCCTTGCTTGCTTGAACCTGATCGCTGGTTCTTGCTTGCTTGTTATTGCTCGCTTGCGCGTGCTTGCTTCCGCTTGCTTGCTTGCGCCCATTGATTTTGCTCCTCCCGGCCTCCTTCTGTCCTGCTCCCGTCCTTTCGTCCTCCCATCCTCCTCTCGTCCTCCTCCTGTCTTCCTATCTATTTGGAGTCAACGCTGGCTGATATCTACTTTGAGCGCCTTCCTACTTCAATGATCGAGTGGCTTCGCCTTTCCCGTCCTCCTTCGGGGGCGGGCGGAACCCAATCTTCTTTCGACGCTTCCGACCTCATGTTTCTACCTACAGTTGGGGAGGGGCTCCGCATTCCTTAAGTGTTTCACAGCTTGCCTCAGGTTTTCCTTATGTTTCCGATCGGGAATCGAAGTTTATCTTATGGAAAAATGGGGCCTCGTTCTTTATTTAGGGTTCCTTAGGTCAACGCGCCGACTGTTTTTCTTCCGACCGATGGGTAAGAGTTACTCTCCGCTGGAGTGACTTGCGGTGCGGGCCCCCACTGGAGCCCTCCGACTGCCGAGCGCGACGCGACCGCACCGGCTTGCGCGCTCGGGCTCGGCCCACCGCGGCGCCCCCCTCAAGCGGTGCACAAAAGGCCACTCCTGCCTGGGGTCTCTTTCCTGCGTGTGGCCGACAAGCACGGTGGCACGGAGGGACAGTTTCTTCAGATCTTGGCGTGCGTACCGGCGGCGAGCGAGAGGGGGGGGGAGCGAGAAGCGGAGGTTTTCTCAGAAGGAGGCGGGCCTATTCAGAAACCTTCGGGCCCTCTGAGGGGTATACAGTGTCTCTGGGGAAGGCTCAGAGAATCGCTTAGAAGGCCAGGGAACTTCCGAGCCTTCCGAGAAGGCCGGCCCCCTCTCATTTCCCTCCAAGGCGGGCCGCCGAACGTACTGAGATAAAGAGATGGGCCTGGCTCGACTAGACGTAAGAGTGACCCTTCGCCGGAGTGACCTTTGGTGCGGGCACAGATGGGTCCCCAGATGGCTGAGAACGAGGCAGCGGCAGCTGCTTGCGCGCCCAGGTTTGGTCTTCCCGCGGCCCCCCAAAAGCCGCGCACCAAAGGTCACTCTTACCCGGGGTCACTCTTACGTATAGCCGACTGGCGACCGCGGTATGCAGTCGTCGTTCGTCGAAGCCACGAGGCGCGGAAAACCCACGGAGCTCCAGCGCCTTGTGGGGGCCCGGCGGCCGCGGTGTGTGCAGGGTGTGCGAGGGGGGGTCGGGCGCTCTGCCCCGTCGACTCAGCGCCCCCGCCCTGTCGGGTGGGGGAGGGCTCGGGATGAGCATTTGCTGCGAGCGGTCCCCACCGAGACCTTGGGGCCCCTGCTCCTCCTCCTCCTGCCCCACTCCTCCTTCCCATCCTCCTCCTTCCCCCCTCCAAGAACGCACGCGAGGAGGCCCCTGTCCTTCCCCTCCTGCCCCATTCCTCCTTCCCCATCCTCCTTCTCTTCCCCCCCTCCCATCCTCAGACTGAGAGGAGCGCAGGCGAGGAGGGGCCGCCCGCAACGGGGCGGCGGGGAGGACGCGGAGGGTCTCGGGAGAGCTGTGGGTCTGGCCTGGTGTTGGTTTGTTCTGCGATGTTATATATTGTGCTCTGGTTTGGTTTGTTCTCTGATGTTCTGCGGTTCTCTGTTATGTGACGTTCTGCTCTGGTTTGTTACGTGACGCCATGATGTGCTCTGTTCTTTCATGCTATACATTGTTTTGTCATGCTATGTCATGCTCGGTTCTGTTATGTCGCATTGTGTCTACGATGTTTTGCCTGAGATGTTATGGTATGTTATGTGATGTTATGTCATGGTCTTGTTTTGTAATGGTACTGCTCATGTTATGTCACGATCGCGCTATGTTATGTTATCTTATATTGTGACGTGCTGTGCTCTGTCGGATTCGTCGCTATGGTCTGTTGGCGTGTTATGCCATGCTTTGAACGCTGTGCCGTGATATTACATGTGCCGTCAATGTGTGCTATTATATGTTCGTTCCCGTCATGTTGAGATATGTTATGTCATGGTATGGTCTGCATTGTTCTGCCATGGTATGTATCATAAGGTTATGTTATGCTGTAGTGTGTCATGATTTGCCTCCCTATGTTCTGTCATGTTTGGTTTGTGATGCTATGCTGTGTTGTGTTGTATCATGCTATGCATTGTTCTGTCATGCTATGCTGTGTTACGCCGTGTTATGTCTACCATGTTGTGTTATTATGTCAGGATGTCATAGGGCAAGGTCTGGGATGTTATGCCAGGATCTGTGTTGTAATGATACTGCCATGTGATGTTCCGTCATGTTATGACATGGTTGAGTTTTGTTGTGTTGTATTTTATTGTGATATTTTCTGCTCTGTCGTGTTCGTCGTTATGCTTTGTTGGTGTGTTATGACATGTTCTGAACGCTGTGTCATGATATGATATGTTCCGTCAATGAGTGTTATGATATGTTCGGTTATGTTATGTTATGGTGTGTTATGGCGTGCTATGTTCTGCAAGTTCTGCCATGATGTGCTTCGTGTTGTTATATTGCGCTGTGGTTGTCATGGTATTGCAATGTTCTTTTCTGTCATGTTATGTTGTGGATTGCTGTGTTTTTCGTGTTTGTCGAAGGCGCGAGGCGGGAGTCCCAGGGAATATCGGGGACTCGGGACAGCTTGGGATCTTGCTGCCGCGGTATGCAGTCGTGTTTGTCGAGGGCGCGAGGCGGGAGTCCCAGGGAATATCGGGGACTCTCGGGACAACTTAGGGTCTGGCGGCCGCGGTATGCAGTCGTGTTTGTCGAGGGCGCGAGGCGGGAGTTCCAGGGATTCTTGGGGACTCGGGACAACTTGGGTTCTGGCGGCCGCGGTATGCGTGGGGTTGGCCGGGGGTCTGTTCTTGAAATCTAACAACCACAACCTGCCGGGTGGGGAAGAAGTCATGTGAGGAAAAACCACCCATACGCCGACAAGTGGCGTTTATTAAGCAGACCTGCCCTGTTCGATTCCATTCCTGGAGGCGTTTGCTAAATGGTTTCGCCTGTCTGGTGATTACTATGGGGGTGGATGTTATGCTCTCTACTGTCGGGTGGGGAAGGGCTCGGGATACAAAGTCTGGTGCCGTGCAGCCGGTCCAGGCTTCTGGGGTGTCACGCCCCCTGACTTTCGAGAGTGCTAAACAAAGAGCACACCAAACCTTTCGACCTATCTGGACTGCTTCAAATCTCGACTGGAAATTTGGTATCTAGGTCCAGGTGCCATTTTTGAGCCCTCCTGGAAGGTCAGGGCCGTGCAGAGACTGAAAAACGCGACGCCAGGTGGCTGGGGATCGGAGGGCGCCCACCACACATCTCCAGTGCAAGCCCATGCCAAGAAGCGCCTTGCTTGCCTCCAGGATTCCCTGGTGATCGTTTTCTTACTCATTGGTTTGCCGATCGGCGCGGGCCCTCGTACCGCCCCCCCCCTCCCCATGGAGTAGATCTTGACTGTTTGTGGCGCCTGCTTCAGGCAGCTGGAGCCTCCCAAATGCAAACAGTCGCACTAAGCAGAGGTCCGGAGCCGGACCCCCGCCCCTCCCCCCCATTTTCGCTCAAAGGTCAAGGGACGTCCTGGGGTCTAAGGGTTGGGTGTCTTGTGGGAGGTTTCTCGTGGTCGAGCCCCTGCTGTACTGTACGCCTGTCCTGGCTGGGCCGGTCCTGGGCCCAGGATCGGTGCGTGTGCCGTGCTGCCCAAGCCGGAGCTGGTTTGGTAGCAGGGCCAGGAGGAGCCTGGCCAGCCTCGCCGTAGGTGTACTTACCCCTGGCGTCTCTCGGACGCGTGTTTTTCTTTTCGGCGAGGGGCAACAAAACGGGGTCGTCTGCGCCGACATTCGCGCGTAAGCTCCCCGCGTAAGGTCGCGCGTGAGCGCCGTCGTCTCCAGTGTGGCGTGCAGCGCCAGCGGCCCGCGCAAGCCACCGCGTAAGGTCGCTGCGCCATCTCGCGTAAAACCCGTTTTTGATCAGCGCTCAATGTCAGGAGGGGAAAAACACACAGACACAATTAATCGTCGATTCGCAGGAAAATATGGGAAAATATGGGAAGTGGGGGGGAAAACAAAAACCCAGAAAATATTTGAAAATATAGGGGGATATTTTTATTTGTGTGTATTTATTTGTGTGTCCCAGGGCCCCTTCACAATGTTCCAAGAAGACAGCGGACGAAACCGCAAACAGGCACGGGGCATGGACGTCCGAGGGACGGCAAGATCTTTGGCGCCTTCCCGGGGGCGGCCACCCTCTTTTCTGCCCGGGCCGGGAGCCTTGACATCCGCCGAGATGCTCTTGTTCTGGGCGCCCGAAATGGGCACGGAGAGAATGGGTACGATGCCCAACAGCAGTTCCTGTTCCTTTCGCGCATCACTCGCTGTCCACGCCGCCGCGGCCTGTGTCCACTCGAGACAGAAGGCCGCCTGCCCAACAGCGGCCGCTGTTGGTTCGGGACAACGTTTGTTGTTGGGCATAGTACCCATTCTTTCCGTACCCATTTCGGGCGTCCAAATTTGTCAGTGCGCGGCCCCAGGGGTCCCGACCCCTTCCCCGGGGCGAGATTTTTGTCGCTGCATCCGGTTTTGATGGCCCCGGGGCCCGATCGTGGCACCCGAGGGCCGAAACGAAAGAGACACCGCCGGTTGGAAGTACAGACGGGGCCCTGAAGAAGGAGCCCTTTTGGTTGGGGAGGGGCTCCGCGTTCCTCAAGTGTTTCACAGCTTGCCTCAGGTTTTCCTTATGTTTTCGATCGGAAATCGAAGTTTAACTTATGAAAAAACGGGGCCTCGTTCCTTATTTAGGGTTCCTTGGGTCAACGCCCCGACTGTCTCTGGTCTTCTGAGATGTTGGCCCGTCCCGCCAGAGCCGGCAGGACTGCGTACCGGCTGGTCAGCTCCTGGGCCGCGAAGCAGAACCTGCAGCAGCGCTCCGGCCGCGCAGGGCGCGTGCGCGAAGGAGAGCCCGCCGGTGCACGCGCCGCCCGTGTCTCCATAAATCGGGGGCGGAAAAAAGCGGGGTGATGACTAGGGAGGGTGGATATCATGGCGGGGGCCATGATATTTCCCCAGATTTCATGGCGCCTCTCCTGATTTCATTACGTCCCTGGCCCCCCGCTGGGCCGCGCACATGCCGCCAGTCATGATCTGCACCCCCCCCTCTTGGACACCCCCCTCTTGGCCGCTTCCGAATAAAGGCATTTTCTGCGGTCGGGGGGGAGGAGGAGCGACGTCACCACCAAAGGTCAAGCAGTGGCGAAGCGTCCCAGCTCGCCCACAATTAGGCCTACCAAAGAATGTCCTAAGAACCTTTTGTGGTCTGCACGAAATCTTCTTAGAACATTTCTGGCTGGGACTGTTTTGTTTTAGCGCATGGGGCTTATGTGCTAATAACATTGTATTTATGTTCAGAACACTTCTGGGTTCTACGAACATTTTTGTGGTAAGCCTATAAAAAATGCCGGGACGGTCGGTCCCCCTGCTCAAATCAAGGCACCTCCTGCGGTCGGGGGGGAGGAGGAGCGACGTCACCACCAAAGGAGGGGGCACCTCCGTCGAGTAGGTCCAGAGGTCCACCCCTGAGATCCTGGCGGCTCCGTTTCCTCGAGCCAGGCGTTTTCGCTCACCTCTCGGGCCCCGGGATCATCGCAGGTCGATCTGGCTTGAGAAGTGACGCAGAAGGATGGGGTCCAGGGGTCCCGTCGCGATTACTCGCGATGCTGCAGTTTTTTGGCCACGACGAGTCTCTGGGACGATGCTCCCCCGAGGTACGATCGGCATGGGTCGAATGTGTGTAAAGATAACCGCATGCCGATGATAATAAAGGGACCCCCCCCCCCTTCAGTGTTTAGAGTTGATTATCGTCGCCCTATACAAAATTCAAATTGGGCGGCGAGCGCTGAGGCCGAACTTCATTATCACCTCGAAACGCTATGTTGAGATAGCAACATCAAGCGATGTTGATATAGCAACATCAAGCGAAGCGATCACACTTTTTCAGGATGTGTCAAGCGAAACCAATAATTTTGGGAGGCAGACTCAAACGAAACGAGCAATGTTTCAAGGATGTCTCAAGCGAAACCAAAAATTTTGGGAGGCAGACTCAAACGAAACGAGCAATGTTCCAAGGATGTCTCAAGGATGTTTCAAGCTAAACCAGCAAGTTTTTTTCTTTTTATTGTTATTTTGTATTATCTTCCTTTTAAATATGTATATATCCCCGCGCGCGCCTGAACTGTTTTATCTCTGGGGTTGATTATCCATGGAAAGGGGAGCACATGACATGAGCACTTAAAAGAATCAATTTTCATAAAGCGTTTGTAAATTAAAATTGATAGATTTGGAACTTTCCATTTTTCCGTTCTTCTTCTCCTTCTTCTCTTCTTCTTCTCTTCTTATTGTTCTTCTACTTTCCTCTTCTTATTTTATATTTCTATCTGTCCTCACGCTCGCCTGAACTTTTTTATCCCTGGGGTTGATTATCCATGGAAAATGAAGCACATGAGCTACCTACCCTACACGAGCACTTAAACAAATCAATTTTCATAAAGCGTTTGTAAATTAAAATTGATAGATTTGGAACTTTGGATGTTTCCTTTCTTCGTCCTCTTCTTATTATCCTCTTCTTCTTCGTTCTTATTATTCTTCTACTGTATTCTTCTTCTTTCATATTTCTCTCTGTCCCCACGCTCGCCTGAACTTTTTTATCTCTGGGGTTGATTACCCATGGAAATTGAGGCACATGAGCTACCCTACACGAGCACTTACAAAAACAATTTTCATAAAGCGTTTGTACATAAAATCTGATAGATTTGAAACTCGAGATGTTTTCTTCTTTTCCTCCTTCTCCTCCTCCTATCATTTCTTTTATTTTATTCTTAATTCTTTTCATTTTCTTATATATATATATATATGTATAGCTTCCTCCATTCCTCCGCCCGCCTGAACTTTATTATCGCCGCCGTTGATTATCTAGGGACGCCGAGGCGGATGAGCTATTCCGAGGATGTCTCAAGCGAAACAAGCATATACTCGAGAATGTTCGAAGCGAAACAAGCATATAGATGTCTGAAGCGAAACGATGCGTTTCTTAAGGATGTCCCAAGCGAAAAACACAATTATTTCGAGGATGTCTCAAGCGAAATAAGCAATAGTTTGCGGATGTCTCAAGCGAAACAAGGGATTTGTCGAGGATGTCTCCAGCGAGATAAGCCATTGATGATGATATTTCTATGAAAACTAAACGCCAAGGATGTCTCAAAACGTGCTCGGCTTGGTCTCCTCTTGATCATCTCTTACTTCGAGATTATGCTGAGGTCTGCTGGGCTACTTTTATTATCTCTCCCTGAACCCCGAACTTTATTATCCCCTAGTGTTTATTTCCACGGGCATGAGGTTACTTCAGATCTCGTAATAAAAGGGAGGGGGTCTGGACACTCCAAGACGAGCCATTTCAGACCTCCCCCCGTGGGAGAACCCTCCAAAACATCGTCCCCAGACCCCCCCCAGGCCCTCCAAGATAGCCTGGAAGAGACCCCCCCCCCGAAATGAGACCCCCCTCCCTTTATTTACGAAATCTGGAGTACCCTCCCATTAACAGCCGTGGCCAGGACAACGAACAAAGAGGTGTCACCGGGAAAAAACCGTGTGTGTGAGTTGGTTCGCTGGCAGCCCCCTTCGGTTACCCACCCTGTCGTCCGACCCGAGGGGAGGGGGGGAGGAGGAGGAGGCGGAGGAGGAGGAGGCGGAGGAGGAGGAGGAGGAGGAGGAGGAGGAGGTGGCGCGCGTGTTGGGAGCTCCGCGCGGCGCTGGTCCCCCCCCGTGGCGACGCCTCTGGCGCCCGCCCCTGGCGCGCGCCAGGGACGGGGGACCAGCGCCGGCCCCAGAGATGCTCGTGGACCTCAAGAATGTCAGGAGGAAAAAAACACACAGACACAATCAATCGTCGATTCCCCAGGAAAACATGGGGAAATATTGGAAGTGGGGGGGAAGACAGAAGCCCAGAATATATGGGAAAATAGGGGGCATCTTTTTTTGATTTGTGTGCATTCATTTGTGTGTCCTGGGGCCCCTTCATAAGAAGTGCTCGTGGACCTCAAGAATGGTGGGTTTCTGTCGATTGTTCCAACAGCAAGTCCTGCCCGCCTTCGAGCAGGATGCACTGTCAGTGTGGCTGCGGACGTTTGCTGTGACTGGCAAACATGCCGCCTGCCCAGCTGCGACCGCTGTCGGTGTCGGATGACCTTTGCCGCTGGGCATCGTCCCCCTTCCAGGCGAATCCCCGAGTTGGAGATTGGAGATATCTCGAGCTGGGCATGGCGGACGACACCACGGGGAGGACGACGCGCAGGTTGTGGTGGTCTGGCCTGTCATAATTCCCCATGGCAGGATGGCGATTACGGAATGCCCAGGGAGCCTGGGAGATGATTTCGGGACGATCGAAATGGGTACGGAAACAACGGGTACAAAGACCGACAGCAGTTCTTGCACATTTTGAACAGGACTCGTTGTCGGTGTCGCCGCGGCCTGTGCCCATTTGAGGCAGAAGGGCGCCTGCCCAACAGCGGCTGCTGTCGGCGTTCTACAATTTTTTCCCTTACCCATTTCGGACGTCCAAATGATTGATACACATTGGATTTCAGGTCGGCTTGCAGGCATCGTCGTCGTCGCTCATGAGCAACCAAAAAAAACAAACGGCACCACCCCACGTGGCGCTGCGACCCCTCGGGGGGCCGCAGCGGATTCCACGCAGGAGCCCACGCCAGAGCTCCTGGTAATGATACGCTGCGCCCCGTGGCGCCGTAGGTGGGGTGGTGTGGTTAGCTATATGGACCACATGGCTCTAGTTGACCGCCGTATCCACACCTGATTCCCAGCGGCAGAACATTTGTTTCAAGTCCGGCACGTCCCTCTACAGCAGGACTGTTCGAACCCAGGAACTGGGTATGCGCACTCCTGGCCAAGCCCAGAGGGCGTGGCCTACACACCTCTGCTGGGTTCAGGATGGGCCTGGCCGGAGCAGTGGATATGTATGATTCCGTCGCCCTACTGAGCGGGGTCCGGGTGCCAGTCTTGAGTGGCTTTCAGGCCGACCGGGCGGAGCGGAGCGCTGGCCTTCCCAGGAGGCGGGGCGTTCCTCGGAGGATCCTTGCCGTCTGCTACCAGGAAAGCGCAAGTCCCGAGTTTGCCAGAACTCGGGCTCGCCGCCGCTTGTGACGGCCCGAGCATCAATTTGAATTTGGGCGGTCATGTTTTCGTGAGATGTTCGCAGCGGGAGCTCGCGTCAAGATTCAGGCCAGGCCGCGCGCTTGTTCTGGCGGCCCCGTCCGACAAATTTTGGCGGCGCGCAGAAGGGGGTAGGGGGACGGGGGGAGGGCTTCTCAGAAGGAGGCTGCTTCTTCGAAGGCGCCGGCCTTACATCTACACAGAAGGCCCGCGCCTTCTAAGAAGCAGGGGTGTTTCTAAGACGCCTTCCCCCCTCCCTCTACCCCCATCTGCGCGCCGTCAAAATTTCGAGTCCCCCAAACTCAATGGCTCCCTGGCTGTCCAGGAGGGCTTCGTCGGAAGCCTCCGGGACCTCCTGAGAAGCCCGGGTGGCCTCTCAGAAGCCGGGAGGGGACAAAGACACCCCGACAGAAGTACAGATGAGGCTGATTAGTAAGCCGACCCTGCCAAATCAAGTGTACCCTCGTGTCCTGTGCTTCGCGACTCAGTTCCTATTTCGGTGTGGCCCTCCGAAGGGTCTTGTGTCCTCTTGCGTGTCCTCTCCAATCAGCCCCGACTGCACTCGTCGATCTCCAGGAAATTTGATGGGGAAATAGCTGTGGGATGCGGAGGGGGAGACGAACATCCAGAAAGTATAGAAAACACATGGGAAAGCCTGGGATGTGTGCGGTGCCCATGTCTTTGTGTGTCCCTGAAGCTTCCAGCCCTTCTGAGAAGCCTGGCTGGACACTTTGAAGCCGAGAGGGGACAAAGGCACCCGACACAAGTTATTGATCGTCGATATCCAGGACAATGGATGGGGGAATATGGAAAGTGGGAGGGGACGACGAACCTCCAGAAGATATAGAAAAAGCATGGGGGTAGCCTGGGATGTGTGCCCCTTTTCATGGGCTAATTTTCCACTAGGTCGGACGGGGAAAAGAAAGACTGGGAAGGCCCTCCTTCTCCTCTTCCTCCTCTTCCTCCTCCTCTTCTTCCTCCTCCTCCTCCTCCTCCTACTTACATCCCCGGGCCGAAAGTTTCTTCCTCTTGGACTAAAGATGTGAGAAGACCGATGCATCCAATCGGATCCCTTTTTCGGGGATGCGACAGCGTCGTGTATCCTTATGGAATGGCCTCGGGCCAGTGCCGCCGATCCGGTGGCGTTTATGGTTCTTGCGCTTTACGTATTTTCTTTGTTTCCCTCCTGCTCGCGTGTCTCCTGGGAGGAGCAGGAGGAGGACGAGGTTGATGATGATGATGATGAGGAGGAGGAGGAGGCAGAGGAAGAGCAGGAGCAAGAGCAGGAGCAGGAGCAGGAGCAGGAGCAGGAGGAGGAGGAGGAGGATCAGGAACAGGAGCAGGAGGAGGAGGACGAGGAGGAGGAGGAGGAAGAGAAAGATCATGAGGAGGAGGAGGAGGAGGAGGAGGACGAGGAGGAGGGGGAGGAGGAGGAGGAGGAGGAGGGGATAAGGGATCAGGAGCAGGGGTAGGAGCAGCAGGAGGAGAGCGAGGAGGAGGAGGAGGAGGAGGAGACCAGGGACGGACTTGTCTGAGGCCCCAGAGGCCCCAGAGGGGGAGGGGGAGAAGACGAAGGAGGAGGAGGAGGAGGAGGAGGAGGAGGAGGAGGAGGAGGAGGATGAGGAGGGGGAAAAGGGATCAGGAGCAGGAGTAGGAGCAGCAGGAGGAGAGAGAGGAGGAGGAGGAGGAGGAGGAGGAGGAGGAGGAGGAGGACGAGGACGAGGACGAGGACGAGGACGAGGGGGAGGAGGAGGAGGAGGAGGAGGAGGAGGAGGAGGAGGAGGAGGCGGAGGAGGAGGACGAGGAGGACGAGGCAACCCAATCCTCGGGCACCCCCAAACTCCCTCCAAACCTGAATGGGAGCAGCCCCCCCCCCATCCATCTTCCCCGGCAAAGCCACCCCCGGCATCCCCCAGCTGCCTAACAGAAGGGCTGGCGGATCGTCGGGTAACCGTCCAGAGACGCATGCAGGGACTGTTCGCACCCAGTGGGAGACGGACTCGCTCGAGGGAACTTGCTGTCGCCCGTCTTTGCAGTGCTCGCGAAGCCCCGCTTGCGAGGAGAGTGCTACAGGCTGATACCGAAGGCGACGTTCGACAGGATGCCGTTCTCCAACCCGCCGGAGATGCACAGGCTTCGGGGACGGCCCAGCAGACCCCGTTCTTGCAGCCTGGCCGGCTGTTATCTGGTAGTCTTCAGGGAGGCTCGGGGGTGGACAGAACCCCCAACAGGGACACGTCGATTAGTGAATTGTCCGTTTTCGGTTCTCGAGAGGGCGCCGTGGCCGTTGTTTTCCAGGCCTGCGCCCGCCAGGTTTGGGCCCGAAGTCGTCTTCACGAAGCCACGTTTTGCCACAGGGGGGGCCTGTCCCTCCCCGAGGGGCGGGAGGAGGAGGACAGAAGGTCGAGGAGGCCGAGGGCGAGGACGGGGGGGGCATGGCCGCGGAGCAGACGGGGCGGGGCCCACCCGTGGAACGGGGGAGAGGCTTGCAGGCGAGCGTTGCCGGCGATGCTGCTCTCCTCGAGCTTGCTGTTTTTTCGGCGGCAGATGTTATTCCGAAGAGGAAGCGCTTGCATATATGTCCAGTTTTCTTTTTCCTTTTTTCTTTTTTTTTGTGTGTTTGAAAATTTTGACTTCAATTTTGTATTTAGCATCTCTTGTGGGATCTTTGGGTTGGTGCCAGGACCCCCCGGCGGCGCCTCCAGCGCCGCCCCTGGCGCGCTCCGCGCGCCAGGCAGGGGGGTCCAGCGCGGATCCAGGGAATCCGCGCGGACCTCCGAATGGTCATGTCAGTGCTGCTGTTTGTTCCTGTGAGCTGTGCAGGCTGGCAGAATGGGGCCCGACCAGAGTCTGGCAAGTTGCGTGGAAGGGGAAGGAGCGGAACGTGGCGAGGCCTGAAAGGAATCTGGAGTTCACGCAAGTCGGGACTCACTTGCAAGTTTTGTTCAACCCAGCACTTCTTTATGATGCGGCGGAAGGGGGGGAGGGGAGAGACATGCCATGCAAGCAAACCTGCCTGAGTCTGACAAAAAAGCCCTCCAGAGGATGGCCCCGTACTGCCAGTGCGCATCCGACGCACAGTTGCTCTTGGGCCCGATCTTCTCTCAAGACCCCTCCTGTTCGGTGGCGGGCTTCGCAGGGTCTCGCAGAGCCCTCGGGAGGAGGCGGGCGGCCACGCGCTCCGGCGACGCCCGCCTCGACCTCTTCCTCCTCGACCCTCGAGCCTCCTCCTGGCGTCTCGATCCTCCATCGGCCTCCTCGATCCTCGATCCTCCTCCTCGCTCCTCCCCTTCCCCTCAGATCCTCGATCGCTCTCCTCAATCCCTGATCTTCCTCCTCGCTCCTCCTCGACCCTGTACCTTCCTCCTCCTCCTCGACCCCCCCTCGTCCTCAGAGATCCTCGCGCGCCCTCCTCGCTCCTCGCTCCTCGCCCGCCTCGGCCCTATCGATCCTCGTCGCTGCTCGCGAAGGGCCGCGGCGATGCCCCTCCACGGGAGGGCCCGCGCGCGCGGCGGAGCGGCCCGCGGCGGAGCGCCCCGCCTCGCTCGGCCGCGCCCCCCGCAGGCTGCCGCTGCACCAGGTGGCGCTCACCGTGAAGGCCGGCGCGCGCCCCCGGGGGGTCTGCCGGGGCTCCCCGCCCCGCCTTCGGGGGGCGCCCGTCGGGGGGGGGGGGGGCTTCGCGGGGGAGGGGCTCGGGAGGGGGAGAGCGAGGAGGAGAACGAGGAGGTGGAGGAGGAGGAGGGGGAGGAGGAGGAGGAGGGGAGGAGGAGGAGGAGGAGGAGGAGGAGGAGGAGGAGGAGGAGAGACGAGGAGGAGAATGAGGGAGACGAGGGAGGAGGGCGAGGAGGAGGAGGAGGAGGAGAATGAGTAGGTGGAGGAAGGTCAAGGATCGAGGAGGCCGGTCGAGGATCGAGGAGAAGGGCAGGAGCGAGCAAGAGGATCGAGGATCGACTAGGACGATCAAGGATCGAGAAGCCAGGAGGAGGATCGAGGATCGAGGAGGAAGAGATCGAGGAGGCACCAGGCGGCGCTCACCGTGGCGTGCGCCCGGGGTCCGCTGGGAGCTCACCCTGTCATACGGCGCCCCTCTCAGGGGGCAACGTCAGGCGGGGAAATAGGCTCACTGAGGGCACGGCAGGCTTGTGGTTCAAGGTTTGCGGGCGGTTTCGTCGGCTCACGGCGGTCTTTCGGGGGCCCCTCTGGTCACCACGGCCGGACTGGGAACCGGACGCGGCTCGCGAGAGAACGGGTCAGGGTGGTTTTCGGGGAAGGGGGGGGATCAGGGAGGGGGGGGGTCATATTCGAGGTTCGAGGTTTTCGAACGTTGTCGTCGGTTCTCGTCGTTTTTTTGCAGCCTACGGGTCCCTTCAGCGGCCCGGTCGCTCCTTCAGTGGGCAACATTGGGGGTGATGGTCTCTTAGGGGAAGAAGCGATATCGCCAACGCAGCTCGATGCTCGCTCGTCGAGATTCTGGTCAGAATGCTCCCCAGGAGGGCTCCTGGGAGTACGGTAGGTTCGCGTCGTGTCGACCGGCGGCGACCCCAGCGCGTGCGTGTAAGGTTGAACGCCGCCCGTGACGCAGAATCGGCCCGTCGTTGAACGATCTGGCGTTAATGGAACGGCCGATCGTTCAAGTTTGAACGATCCCCGCGGTGTCAGGAACCAACGCCGGGGTCGACACGAAGCGAACTTGCCGTAGCGGCATCGGTACCTTTTGGTTTCCCCAGGCCCAGGCAGGATGAAAGGTTCGAGGTTTGGTGCTTTTCGGTCGTCGTCGTCGCTTGTCGGCGGTCTCCCATCGTCGGGGCGTCTTCCAGCGGCGCCCCGCCGAGAGCGTTTTTTCTGGTGTGCCCGGATCTCCCCGAGTTGCCGCCGTGGCCCGAGAACCACCATTCGTAAGCCGGGCCTGCCCCTCTACAGGGGGAATCTTAGAAGTAGTAAAAAGAATTAGTCTGGGGACGATGTTTTGCAATGTTCGAGTCGTTGGCGGGGCATTGTTGGGTATTTGTTATGGTTCGTCCCATATCCGCCTGCAGGGGGACATGCCCGACCTAGCACTGTTCCCGACAACCCCAGCTTCCCCGCCACGCCTCGCTCTCTCCCTCACCGCCTCCCGCGTTCGCCGCAGCCATCCTGCCTTTCTGATATGGGCAGACGCTCACACCACCTGCACGCGGTGGTGCTTTTCTGGTGTGATGCGTGTTCGACGTGGATTGGGCCAGGTCTCCAGGCGGCTTCGACGTGGCATCGACGCGGACAGCGGCGCGAGTTCGACGCGGACTGCGGCGCTATGGGGCGGACGATCCCCCAAATGTGCAGCACGGGGCAGGTGGTCAGGAGGTTCTCGAACTCCTGAAGTTTCGGGCTGCTCTCGGGCCTCGGGGCGCTCTCCGTGAGCTGCGCCTTGTCCTTGGCGTCGCTCGGAGTCTTGGCATCGCTCGGACGTGTGCATCTTTCCTTCGGCGAGGACGTTCGAGGAGCTTCCTTGATCGTCTGGCGAAAAAAAACCACGCACGAAACCGAACAACAGCACAGGGAATGGACGTCCGAGCGATGGCCAGGAGTTGTGCACTCTTCTCGGCGAGCACCATCGAGGAGCAGCCTGGAGCACCCTGCGGACAACGGAGCGCAGGAAGCCGAAGCAGGCACGGGGAAGAAGCGCTCGAGCGAGGGCGAGTGCCTTCGTGCTCCGGGGGTGCCGAGCCGCGGTCCCAAAACAGAGCGGAGGGCAGGCGACAAAACAACACAAACACAAACAAAAACAAAGACACACAAATCACTGTGGGAAACACACACACGCACAAACACACACACACACACACTGTGTGGGAGAAAAAAAACACGCACTGTGGGAAAACACACAGACTGTGGACAAAAAACACACACTGTGAGATAACACACAAAAACACACAGACACACACACACACACACACGGGGTCAGCGCTCTCGGCCAGTCCCTGCCGATGCCCGCCCGTTGACCTCGAGTCTGGGAGCCACGTGGAGCCGAACCCGCCCCCCCCCCTTAACCCCTAAGGGTCTTCAGTGTTGCTTCCTCCCCCCCCTTGTTTCGCCTGGCGGAGAATCAAACTCGTCCCTCGTCCTCCTCCTCCTCCTTCTCCTTCTCCTCCTCCTCTTCCTCCTCCTCCCCCCTCTTTCCTCCTCCGCCTCTTCCTCCTGCTCCTCAAACGTAATCGTAGTCGTCGTCGATGTTGCGCGGCGGATGCCGCGGAGGAATACTTGTTTTTCGATATTGGTGGGGCCCCAAACCTTCAATAAGGGCGTCGAACGGGTCGGGGCGAGTTCGTTGGGCCTGGTAAGCCCTCTGGGGACACCTTCGGAACGTTTGGTTAGGATGCAACGCTTGTGAAATTTGAAATCGGTATCGGCGTTGGTCGATCCATTGTCGAAAACATGCCTGATCCATCATAATCCGGCTTAGTGTCGCTAAATCCAGATTGATCGAGGGTAATCTTGGGCGTAATCCGGGCTGATCCAGTTCACTGGCTCTGAATCGGACCGAGTCGTTCTTAGGAAGACCTCCCCTCAGTTGCTTTCCTCACCCTGGAGACCTCATATCGGCGGGGTCGTGAAGAAACAGTGAGGGCAGGCAGTTTCGACCCGTTTCGAGCGCCGTGGCCTTCACGGAATGACACGCCGCGAGGGGTGAAGCAAACACGGGGTCGGGAGTTCCAGTCGTGGTGTTTCGTATCCTTGGGGGTTGGAGCCCAGCGTCGATCCTAAGACATCTTCGGTAAGTGTATGGTCAAGCCGTCCTCATATCATTAATATCAGCTCCATGCTCTCCCTCCCCTCCCTCGAGCGGGCCTCCCGCTTGCGCGTTCACGTCGCTCCGCGGAGGCGTACCTGTGCATGCAATCGTGTGAGGAGGGCACATGTGGCTTCCTCGTATATGCCCGCATATGTGTCTGTGATGATAGCACCCTCCCTTTCGGATGCAACTCTCGGGAGGTAAAACTCAGCATCGGCGCTGACAGATCCATGATCGAAGACTGGCTCAACTTGAGCTGACGTAATCCCGCTTGATTCAGTTCACAACCGTTTGATGCGGTTGGATCCGGCTTGAGTTTGGGTTTCATTTGGGTGAATCGGACCGAATTGCCGGTACAATACAGTTGGTCAGCCCTTGATCCTAGTCACGAAACTTTCCCTTGAAATGCTTCCAAGGTAGGTAGGCGTCTGCGGTGATCACATCTCCTCCATCTCCTCACCATTCCCCCCCCCCCAGGACAGGCTCAGGAGGGCCTGCATCGACCCCGAGTCGCCCAATCATCGCCGACAGGTTCCCGAGAGCCTACCACACCACGCCCAGGAGCATGCGGAACCGCCATCGGGGGCCTGTGGGCCGATCCATCGGCGCTGTGTCGACGATTCCAGATCAAGGTGTTCCCCCCCCTGAGCTTCTTCCCCCCGTAGCCATGCTCGGGGCCATGGCCGCGGTCGTCGTCCTCGTCGTAGTCGCCCCCGTCGTCCTTGCCCCCCTGCAGAGCTACGCGCTGCCAGGCCCTCAACCTGGGCTCCGCGGTCGCGTTCCTCAACTCCGCGCCGGATCCCCCGCCGCCGGGGTCCGTGCAGCAGGCGATCCACACTTTGCAGGACCTGAAGGTGCTGCCACCATGGACATGCTGAAGGAGCAGGAGCAGGAGCAGGAGATCAGCGGAGCAACAGTTTCCAATGTATATACATCTATATTTATGTAGATGTAAATGTGTATTTTCATACACACAGCAACCCAAGATACATACATGTTGATGTACATACATACACACGTAGATTCGTACGTACATACATACACCTAGACATACATACCTACATACATACATACATACATGCACATACATACATACATACAGACATACATCCATACATGCATACATACATATGTTTATGCATGTCTGCACGCATACATTCCTACATGATTGATTGCATACATATATACATGCATGCATGTATCCATACATACGTAGATACGTACACACATACATACAGATTCACACACATACATACATACACGCATGCGTACATCCATACACACATGCACACACATGCATGCATACACACATACAGACAGACCCACAGGCAGACATGCATGCATGCATGCACGCATGCATGCATGCATACGTACAGACGTATGTACATACATACATACACGCACGTACTCACATAGATACAGACATACACATATACGTACAACCATACAACCATGCCTGCACACATGCATACATGCATGAATACACACATGCACATACATGTACACAGCCCTACATGCATACATACATGCATACATGCACACGATTATTCAGATATGCATACATGCAAACATGCATACATACATTCATATTTTCACCCACTTACCTGCAGACATACATACACACATACAAGCATACGAATCCACATGCATACGCACACGCATGTAGACATACATAGAAATATACATACATGGACAGACATGCAGACATCCATATACACATAAACGCATAACTATGTTCACATACATTTGCATGTTTACACGTACATCTCTACATACATACAGTATACAAGTCTACATCCGTGTAACCATACACGCACCCACGTACACATGCATACACATATTCATGCATACATGCATGTATGCATGCATACACACATACACACGCACGGACGTACGGTTATAGACATGCATCTATACAGGCAGACATAATACATGCGCGCTTACATACACACTTCATACACACAGACGAACCCACACACATATATATATATATACACATACATACATAGACACAAACATAAATACATGTACACAACCACACACATGCATGCATACACATACATACACGCATGCATATATACATACACGCAGGCATACGCATTCACACATACATACATACCGGCACATATATATACACTCATGCATGCATACACGCATGCACACATCAATACGTATACACACATGCATTCACACATACATACGCACACATACACGCTTACGCAAATACCTACACACATACAACCATATACACATACACGCATACATATCTGCACACATGCACACACTCACATACTTATTATCATACATCACCTTGGCCTCGCTTCTGCCATGGCCTCCTGGAAGGCCCTCGTCGCCACGCCTGAATTCGCACCGACATTCTTGGCAGAACGCACCCCGGCAGAGGTCTTCGGAGTACACGCAGGTCGTTGAAAGTAGGTATTTCTGGGTTCCCAGATCCCAATCTACTTCAAGCGCCTTCCTACTTCAAGAATCGGCACGCTTTTGCTGTGCTTTTTTATTCCCTGGGGGGGCCTGGACCCAATCTACTTGATCCGCCTTCCTGCTTCATATTTCTACCTACTTCTTCCGACCGACGTGTGGCGGTATGGGGAAGTCTTTGTGATCAAATAAACGTGCATGTTCGCAGCTCCGCGCGGAATTCTTGGATCTGTGCTGAACGTCCCCGAGCGACGCCGCTGCCGCCGCCTCTGGCGCGCTCCGCGCGCCAGGAAGGGGGCCCAGCGCCCAGCCAAGAAGTCCCGCGGAGCTCAGGCAGTGTATGTTTATGATGTTGTCTGCCTCCCTATGAAGTAGAAGGGAGGAGGAGGAGGCGCAGGAGGAGGAGGAGAAGGAGGAGGAGGACAAGGAGGAGGATGGGGCAAGAGGTGGAGGAGGAGGGGGGGGAAGGGGGGCACGAGGGGCAGGGGCAGGAGCCGGAGCAACACCAGTAGTAGCAGGACGAGAAGAGTCAAGTAGTGGCGAAGCGTCTTGGCGTGCCTATACGCCTACCAAAGAATGTTCTAAGGATCTCTTGTGGTCTGGACGAAATGTTCTTGTTTCAACACATCGGGTTTATGTTCTCAGAACGTCGAGTTTGTTATGGGACATTTTTGGGTTCTAAGGGCATTTCGTGGTAGGCCTATAGAAATGCCGGGACGGTCGGTCCCTGTTCAAAAGAGCCTGGCATCGCTCGGACGTGTGCATTTTTCCCTCGGCGAGGACCATCGAGGAGCATCCTTGATCATTTGGCGAGGAAACCGCGCACGAAACCGAAAAAAACCCAGGGAATGGACGTCTGAGCGATGGCCAGGAGGGGGCGAGCGGCCGGTGGCGGAGGACCAGGCGCAACGGTAGGGGGGGAATCGGCCCAGGGAGGGTTGCCTCGGCTTCAATCAAGAGGGGAAAAAACACACAGACACAATGAATCGTCGACTCCCCAGAAAATATTGGAAAATATGGGAAGTGGTGGGGAAGACAAAAACCCAGAAAATTTCGGAAATATGGAGAAACAAATAGGGAATCATTTTATTTGTGTCTATTTATTTGTGTGCCCCAGGGCCCCTTCATTCAAATCGCCCATTGATTGCCGATGGGACAGGGTGGGAGATAGGGGGTGGGGGGGCGGTCGGGGAGGGAGACGGGCGAGAGAGGCAGAAGGAGAGGGGGGGCCGTGGTCGGGGGTGCAGGAGGAGGAGGATCAGGGTGAGGAGAAAGCCGGCGACACGGGGGGGGGAAGTGGCCTGGTTCTGCAGATTGCGGGGGCTGGCTGGGCTGGGCGCTCGGGGTGTCGGAAGCGGAGACCGTCGGGCCGTCGAATGCGAATTCCTCCAAACATGCGCTGCCACGCCGCTCGCCTTCTCACCTGGTGCACCCGCGAAGAGAATTGAGCCTTGCTGTCTGTTTGTCGGCGCCTGAGCGCGAAGATGACGGCGATTCGCGCGTCGAGTGGCGCGGTAGCGCGAAGGTAGGCGACCCAGCTCCAATGCAGTCAGAGGGGGCCGTTGTGGGACCGATCCTCATCACACACTCTCCCTCCTCCTTCCGATCCTTTCCCTCCTCTGGCTGATTGCATTGGGGCCTAGCCATCAAAGGACCATGTGCAGCTTACACGCTGAGCCAAGGAAGAGTTCTGGTTCGAATGGGGCTCGCTGTTCCGTAGATCCCTCCATGGTTGTTCCGCCAGTGCCTTTCGTGCTTTGACCGGGCGGGGCTAGGATTTGGATAAATCGTTACAGAGCGTTGACGGACGCTCTCAGGGCGTTCCGCCGCTCTTTGGATTGGCAGCGGCGCCCGAGAAGTATTTCAGAATCGCCAGATCTCAGAGATCCCCGATGATTCGGGTTCCGAGCTTGTCCTGGTTTTGGCTTTGTCTTAACTAATGCTAGTTGAGGTTAGGTTGGAGCTTCGTTCCGTATGTTTCGTCCTTTGGCAGTATTTTGATTGTACGCCGTGCTTCGGGTTGTGCCCAGGGCGCAGATCATGACCGCGCAAGAAACTAACGCAGCCGAACGTTCTGGACGTTTTGTGAATTCTGTTTTTTGTCAGTTGTTTCTGCGATGCGGTTGTCGTTGGCAAGTGTTTCTGGTTTGACGCAGTGTTTTCTCGCGAGGTTGAAGCCTGGCCACTTGCAGCGCTTTTCCCGCGGAGATCCTCTTCCGTGTGCTTTCGCGAGGCCGAGCGGGGATCATTTTCGGCGGCGCCCGTTTGCCACGACGCACGCGCGCACTGATCGGGGGAGGTCGCAGTAGTAAAAAAGTGGTCGCTGCGGCATCGCAGCTTTGTGTTTGAGGCGGCGCGTAAAGCCCTGCACGCTTGTTAGCTGCACGTGGCCTGCATAGGCGGATTGCCTCCGCGCAGCGATGCTTCGCGCGTCGTGATTGCGCTCGTTTCGGGCGGCGATGCGCCCGCGGGCAGAGCGCCTCCGCGTGGCGAGGCCTCCTGTAGCGCCTAGCGTGCCGCCAACTTTGTTCCTTCTGGGCCCGCGGGGCCACCCGCCCCCCTGCCCTGCACGGCGGCGCGTCAAACAATGGAGTGTCGTTCCTTCCTTCTTGTGTTGTTCAGACCTTGCGCTTGCCACGTTCATTTGGGCGGTGATCATTTGTGGTCCGCCTCTTGCCCGACCTCTTCCTTTTGCCCTCCCCTTCCCTCTTTTCGCATTGTTTTGTGTTTTTTCCATTGCGCGCGTCTCAAAGTGGAGAGCCCGGTCGGCTCGTGGAGGGCGCGACTTCGTGGACACATCAGGCGCAGTGCGGTTGCGTGTAGAGAATTGGGCGTTTGCGTTATGCCGATTGGTTCGCGGCAAGCCCCACCCACTGCGATTGCATATTTTTCTGTGCGGCGAGTATGAGAACACCACCAAGAAAAGCGTACCACGCGACAGATCATCGCCCATACCCGTGCAATGGCCGCAACATGTGACACCCTTATCCGCGTCGTTTCGGGGCGTAATGGTTCGTTTTCGTCGTCGCCCCCCCCTCCTCCGTCCCCCCGTTGTGAGTCCTCCTACTTTTCCGCCTCATTCTGCGTCCGTTGTTTTTGCCTCTCTTGGGTCTCTGACGAGTTAGTCTCAGGCCGCAGTGGGCTTGTCACGGGGTCCCGTTGGGTTGTCTCGGGGGCCTGTTGGGGCACTCTTGGGCCGTCTTGGGGTTCTGTGGGACACTTCGGGGCCATCGTGTGCTGTCGTGAGCTCCCCGAGGGGTCTGCTGGTGGTGTTGCACTGGGCTGCCTGCTTCCGTTGGGGTTTCTTGGATTTGCCTGCGGATTAGCGGATGCAGTGTAGGTACCGTGGTGACGGCATCAGAGTCGCCTTCAGGTCTCTGCAGAACAGCTGCGCCGCGTTTCCAAGCGGAGTGGCTAGTTGAGGACTTCCAACGGCCACGCCGGGACGTTTGAATTTTGGATCCCCCCGCTCCAAAAAACATGGTGAACGTAATCGGGTTCTTCAATAATCCTCCCATCGGGACTGCGATGGTCCCAAAGCACGAAACATCTGTCGATCCACGAAATTGAATGAGGAGTTCCCGGGGTCCCAAGTAACGCCCTTATTTCGGTGCCAGGCGGTCCCACAATTCAGAGCCTCATTTTGGTTCTCGGCGGTCGCAGGTCCCACAAGACTCAAAGATCCCACAGGTCCCACAGGTCTCGCAGGTTTCGCAGGTCGCACAGGTCGAACAATCCCCGCAGGTCCCAAAGGTCCCACAAATCCCACCGGTCTCGCAGGTCCCACTGGTCCCACAGTTCCCACAGGTCCCACGGGTCCCACAAGCCTCCCAAATCCCACAGTTATCGCAAGTCTCACAGGTCCCACATGTCCCACATATCCCACATATCCCATAGGTCCCGCAGGTCCAACATCTCTTGCACGCGCCGCGGGTTCTCGCAAGCCTGACTGGTCTCGCAGGCCCCACACGTCCTATTGGTCCAACGAATCCCATTGGTCTCTCATGTCCCGTGAATCTTAGATGTCCCGCAGGTTCCACATGTCCCACCGCTGCCACAACGCCCATAGGCCCCACAGGCCCCGCAGGTCTCGCAGGTTTCGTTGATCCTGCAGGTCCCACAGGTTTCACAGGATCCACATGCCCCACAGGCCCCGCTGTTCCAAGAAGTCTCGCAGGCCCTACAGGTTCCACTGGCACCACTGATCCCACATATCCCAAATGTCCGACAGGTCCCCCAGGTCCAACAGGCCCAGCGGGTCCCACGGGTCCCATTGGTCTCACACATCCAACAGGTCTCGTGTGCGACAAAGGTCCCACAGGTCCGACGGATCCCACTGGTCCCACGAGCCCCACGGGTCTCGCAAGTCTTGCAGGTCTCACAGGTCCCACAGGCCCCGCAGGCCCTACAGGACTCACAGGTTTCTCAGGTCCCACAGGCCCCACAGGCCCCGCATTTCTCACAGATCTTACATACACTACAGGTCTCGCAGGTCTCCTTGGTCCCACAGGTCCCGCAAGTCGAGGTCCCACAGGTTCCACAGCTCCAACAGAGCTCGTTGGGCTCGGAGGTCCCGCAAGTCCCAGAGGTCCTACAGGCCTCAGAGGGTTCGCGGGTCTCGTATGTCCCGCAGGTCCCACAGGTCCCGCAGGTTCCTCATGTCCCACAGGTCCCACGGGTCTCACAGTTCCAACAGGTCAAGCAGGCCTCGATGGACCCACATGTCCTGCAGGTCCCACAGGTCTCTCATGCCACCTTTGCTGCTATTAGGGTGCTTAACTAGGGGAAGTGTTGAAGTACTGGGCGCACGTAGTTGCTTGAGCTGTGCGCAGTGCTGAATGGGCCATGAGCGCAAGGTGGAAACGCTGCCCCACAAATGCGGAATTTCGCCCGTCCTGGATTTGTTATCTGACCTTGAGGCGGTGGTTTCCATCGTGGTCAGACCATGTCTGCTCTGCATGTTGCTGGTCCCTGATCCTTCGGCGCCGAGGTGCGAGACTAGGAGCTACAATCGAAGCGCTAACGCGGGAACCACTCTGGGCTCTAAAGAGGCTCCGTTTTTCGGGCCGTTCCTCAGACCTGGGTCGTGGAACCCAATCGTGGCCGAAGCTCGCCGCGGCCAGGAAAGCCCTCCTCGTTCCCTATGTGGCGTTCCTTGTGGCAGTGCGTCGACTGTAGGAGTCGTGTCCTCCTCTCTCGGGCTGCCAGCGGCGACGCGCCAGCTGCGAACGCGGTGCAAGATTTGGCGTGTCTGGGGAGGACCGCGCTCTCAGAGGCTCTCCCTTGCTGCCGGTGCCAGCTTGCAGCAAGTCTGTGAGGAGGGGAGCCGTCGCGCCGCCTGCTTGACTCTGCTTGCTGACCACCTTGGTTCACGTTGCATCTTCGCGCGGCCTCGACTGTCTCCAAAATTGGGGTTTTCTCTTGTGCCCGACGCGGGCTCGATGCGGACTCGATGCGGAGCTGGCTTAGACTCGACGCGGATTCGACACGGATTCGACACGGTTCCGACGAGGCCGACATGGATTCGACACGGAGTCGACAAAAACACGGCCGCGATGGGGCAGACAAGGTCCCCCAAGGATGCAACACAACGCTGTCTTCCCGCAGCTGGATCCCGAGATGTCTTTGCCATGAGCCAGTGAGCAGGTCCCCCGCGGGGGCGCGAAGATGCTCGCGCCTCGCGCGGGGCGGCCTGGGCCAGCGCGGCCGCTCTTGTCCAAGGGGGCGGCGCGGGTGCGCGACGATGATCGCGGGGCGCGATGCGCGAAGTTGGTTGATCGACGGCATTTGGTGGAGGAAAATCCAGGGGAGGCTTGCCCAAGGGGGTTGTCCGGTGGGGTGCTCCTGGGTCCTCGCTGGGTTGTCCAGGGGGCTGTGCGGGGTGGGTCGCCTTTGTCGTCATTGCTCCGCCTGGGTTATCCGGGCTGTCAGGGGGGTTGTGAGGATGATTTTCCCACGGAACATCGTAGTGAACCCTCCCGAAGTCAGAGTTGTTCTTTTTACCAGACGTTGTCCTCGGAGTCGAGCTCGCGGGCCGAGCCCTTGACCAGGGTGTTTTGCGCAGACCCAGGCACGCCTGCGGTGGCCCCGGAGAAGGCGCCCTGGCCTCAGCGGACAGCGTGCCCCACGCCAGCCGCAAGTCCAGCCACGTGGGGATCACCCCACTCTTCCCTCTTCCCCCTCGTCCTCCTCCGCCTCCTCCTCCTCCTCCTCCTCCTCCTCCGCCTCCTCCTCCTCCTCTTTCAGCACGCCCCAGGGAGCTGCACTGAATGCCCTAGTGGGAGGGTCCACATGCGCCCCGTGGATTTAGACAAGCCAGGGGAGGCTGGCATGGAGCCGCCGTGTCGAGACACTTACGTGATGTGTGCCAACGTGCGCTCCCAGGACGGACGCCTGCCCGAAGTCGTGCCACAGGTCTGCGCACCGCCTCGGGTGCTGGCTGGCGAAGATTCGCGCGACAGCGGGCCATCCAGCCTTGGCATCGCTCGGACGTGTGCATTTTTCCTTCGGCGAGGACCATCGAGGAGCATCCTTGGCCATTTGGCGAAAAAACCGCGCACGAAACCGAACAAAGCACAGGGAATGGACGTCCGAGCGATGGCGAGCAGCGGGCGGCAGCCCCGCGCGGCCCCTGTGAGGCCTTGGACCACGACGAGCGCATCACGAGCCTCGGGCTCGAGATGCACCAGCTGCCCTTCGACCCCAGGACTCTCCGGCGGCCCCCGCCAGCCATCGCCAGAGTTAGGACGGCAACCTCGCCTTGAAGCAGACGGGGCCTGAGCTTAGTTGGCCCTGGAAACGACAGGGCCGTTTTTTTAACGGTTCCGTTTTGCCCTTTCTTTGCCGGTTCCGACGCCGTTTTTTCATTGGTTCCGTCGCCGTTGTTTGACCGGTTCCGGCTTCGGTTCCAATCCTGGAGCCATTTTTGTTGCCGTTTCCGGTCGTTGTTTTTTTGCCGTTTCCTTTTTCAAGGGACATGTTTGGGAGAAACGTGAAAAAACGGCCCTGCCGTTTCCGGGGCCGGGCCTGAGGGAAGCGGGTCTTGAGTTCTTTCGATGCTTCTCGTGGCCTTCGGGGCCCTCACTTCAGGCTTCCTAGATGAGAGCATGGCAGATGGGGTCGGAGGATCGCGCCACACCGAGGCTGCATCAGCGATGCGGCTCGACGTGGAGCCATATTTTCTCCACGCCGACGGTGCCCATGCGTCGACGGCGTCGCCGACGCGTCGTCGATGCAGCGGTGATGCAGCGGTGATGCAGCGCGATCCTCCGACCCCATTTTCTCGGGCCTTATCTGAGAGCCCTCCACTCGTGGGCCCCAAAGCGACCCTGAAGATGGTATGTGCCCCGGGGGGTTGAAGTCCCCGGGGTCCAGGACGCCAACACACCGCGGGGCCTCGCCCAGCAAACCCCGGGCGTCGAGCCTGGGTCAAACGACGCGAAGATCGGGACAAAATCGGATCGGGATAACTCGAAATCTCTGAGAGAGAGAGTCGGCGGGTTTGGAGGATGTATGGGGTGCCGCGGCCGCTCCAGAGCGTTCCGGAGCGCTCTGAGAGCGCTCTGGAACGCTCTGGAGCGATTTATCCCGATCTTAGTCTTGTTTTACTGGGATCCGCTGCAGGGTCGAGGCCCCTCGACGCGTCCTGGCCCCCCAATGGGCCCCGAGGGGCCCCCTCGTCGCCGCGGGCGGGCTCTCCTCGCGCAGTCCTGCCGCAGGCCCAGGGGGGGACACCAGCACCAGTCGCTCGGCGGTGCGCCTCCGCCGAGGGAAGGAGCTCCCGAGCTCGGTGAGGGTGGTAAGCTTCCAGGCCGGCCGAACTATTACCGCCAACACCGAAATCTTGGATCATCTTCCCCCTGTGGAGACAGCCCCCTGTGTTCGGGGGCGGAAAAGAGGGGGGTGATGACTAGTGGGGGGGGATATCGTGGCGGTGGCCATGATATTCCCCCAGATTTCATGGCGCCTCTTCTTGTTTCGTTACGTCCCTGGCCCCCCCGCTGGGCCGCACACATGCCGCCGGTCATGATTTGCACCCCCCCCTCTTGGACACCTCCCTCTTTGCCGCTCCCGAGGTGCGCCTCCGCCGAGGGAAGGAGCTCCCGAGCTCGGTGATGGTGGCAGTATTCTAGCTTCCAGGGCGGCCGAATTATTACCGCCAGCACCGAAATCTAGGATCGTCTTCCCCCTGTGGAGGCAGCCCCCTGTGTTGGCGTTGGTGCCCAGATCCAGGCCTCCAATATACCTCCTGGCCTCCAAGATCAGGTGGCCGGGGGCCTCCGGTCCTGGGCGGGCCACGCGCCCCCGGCACGGGCCCCATTAAGCGGCCTCTGCGCGGCCCCGGGGCGCGGAGACGAGGAGCCAGAGGCGGGCTGCGGCAAGGGGGCTAAGCGCTGTGCGTCCACGCTGCCCAGCGTGACGGCTGGCCTTGCCTGCGCGCCGCCCCGGTTGGGGCTCGAGGGGATCTCCATCGATCTTGTGCTCAGGGGCTCGGCCTGGCCGGGGTCGGCGCCCAGACCTCCGACGACACGCTCGCTGCTCAGCCGGCCACTGCAGAGAAGAGTCGCCCCGCCCCTGCCGGTGTGCCGCGTGCCGGTGTGCCGGCCGCTCCGCGGGCGCTCCTCTCGTGCACCTCGCGAGGCGCCCCGGTCGGTGACCTGCAGCGGGTGTGGTCAGCGCCGGGGCGCTGTCTGCGATCGGCGCCGTCGGGGCTTCGGGGGGCACGCCGCCGTCCTCGTCGGGCCGCCTCGGGGCGCGGCGGGGCACTCCATCGAGGCGCCCGCCCACCCCCCCGAGGGTGCCCCACGGGGTGCCGATGGCAAACCGCACCCTCAGCAAACCACACCCTGCGGAGTCGCCGACCCCGGGCGCCGCCGAGGAGCGTCGTGCCTCACTTGGCGTTCCTTGCGGTATTGGCTCGACAGGGCCGCCCACGATGCGATTTGACGCGCGTCGATCCTCCAGGTGGGGCCGCGATTCCGATTCGGTTCGGCTTGCTAAGGTCACTGGCATCGGCTTGGGCCAGCCAGATGCAGGCGCTGCGATCTGATTTCGATTCGATTCGATTCGAGCCGATTCGCTGGAGATCCGATCGGTTTCCGATCCGATCCGATCTGATTTCGCGACTCGATCCAGTTCAGGCTTACTGCATATCCACCCCCGACGTCATGTTTTTTCTCAGCTTCGACCCCCAGAGGTCTCGACGCATTAACTACTCTGGAACAGTTTTCCACTCCTGATTCTGAATGTTGACGGTCCCATGGCCCCCCGAGGCAGAGCATCGCTCAAATTTTGCAGCCGTGATTTCTGCACACCCTAATCACGGCCTTGATGGGCCCCGGAAACGACAGGGCCGTTTTCCCATTGCTTCCGAAACAACGTCGCTTGAAAGTGGAAACGTGAAAAAAAAGTCAACCAGAAACGACGGCAAACCGGTTCTGGATCTGGAACAGGAGCCGGAGACGGCAAACAAACGGCGACAAAGCCGGCAAGCAAACGGCGTCGGAACGGGCAAACAAACGGCAGAACGGAAATTGTAGAACAACGGCCTTGTCGTTTCCAGGGCCCACCCCTGAAATTCCAGAGCGCTGAAAAGTAACCTTCCAAACCCATCGACCTGTCTGGACTGCTTCAAACCTCGGCTGGACTTTGGGTATCTAGGTCCCGGTGCTATGTTTAGCCATCCTGCATGGAAGGTCAGGGAGCAAGCTCAAGACTTCTGGGTGACCCAAAAGGGGGTCCAGCTGAAAGGGGTTGGTGCAATAGAATTGGGGCAAGTATTGCAAATGTATTGCGCCGGAGAATTGTATTGCATTGTATTGCAAACAATGTATTGCACGCGAATAACCAGCAATACGTTTGCGCCCGGAAATGTATTGCACGCCCCTAATGTTTTGCAACCCCACAAATCTATTGCACCAAATCTATTGCACCACCCCCTTGTCGCTGGACCCCCTTTTAGGTCAACCCGAAGACTGCATCGTTGTCGCAGGACGGGGGCCTCCGGAGGCCTGTGCAATCTCGGGGCAGGGCCTCGTCCGGAGGCGGCCGCTCCTCCTCCAGGCGGCTCCCGCGCCCGCCTCCTCACGCCGCGGCCCCAGGACTGCCTTCTCGCTGCTGGCGTCGCGCATGATGGCGGGGGGGGGAGGGGAGGGGAGGGGGGGATCGGAGGAGGAGGAGAAGGCACCGATGACGCTACCCTTCTCCCGTTTCGATTTTTGGGGGGCCTCCTGGAAGGCCTTTGGCGCCACCGCTGGATGCGCCTCGACATCCTGATCTGAACGCACTCCGGGAAGGGTCCAGGGAGTAGCGGTGTCGCTATATTTCGGTTTTCCCGGGAAAAACGAAGAGGAAGAGGAGGAGGAGGAGGAGGAGGTCGAAACAAGCCATTACATAGCACCCCGCTCGTGTGGATGAGTGTCAAGGGGCGGCGTAGGATTGCCCCCAAGAGTTGTCCCCATGTCTTGCACGAGTGTCGTCACCACGTACTGCCGTCACAACTAGTTAGCGAGCCCATGTCTTGGCATCGCTCGGACGTGTGGATTATTTTCTGCGACGATCATCGAGGAGCATTCTGATTCATCTTGCGATAAAATACACGCACGATGCCGAACAATGCACGGGGAATGGACGTCCGAGCGATGGCGAGATGTAATAATCCCAAGATCTCAAGTATTGCCTCCGATGCACCGCCCCCATGTGTCGCCCCCCGTAGGGCCCCCAAGTCTCGCCCCCACTCCTTGCCCCCGAGCGTTGTCCCCAGCGATCGAGCCATCCATGCAGCCACGAACGACCGTTCGGCCTTCCTCCCCGGCATCGTTCGGACGTGTGTATCTTTGGCCGGCCAGAGCCATCGAGGAGTGTTTTGGGCCATCATGTGAACAAACGAACGCGCGAAATCGACCATGCACGGGGAGTGGACGCCCGAGCGATGGCGAGACTCTGCATACACATGCGTAAACGTCCGGAGCTCCGCGCGCTAGTGATAGGTACGATCGAAATGGGTACATAACTACTTGGGACGACAACCTACAACAGGTCCAGTCCAAGCTGAAAAGGATTAGTTGTCTGTACCGTCGCGGGCGTTGTCCGCTTGTGACGTGACAAAGTGGATTACCCAACCGCGGCCGTTGCTGGTGCTGCTTGACATAGTTTGTTGGGCATCGTCTTTGTTCCGTACCCATGTCGAGCGTTCCTCCTCCTCCTCCTCTTCCTCCACCTCCTCCTTCTCTTCGTCATCCTCCTCCTCCCCCGTGAAAGTAAGAGGAGGAGGAGGAGGAGGCGGAGGCGGAGGAGGATGGGTGCCGCGCGCTGCGGCGTGGCACCACAGCGAGCCGATGCCCGCACGGAGGCCGCACGGCGGTCGCGTCTGCCACCGCGATGCGCCAGAGGGCGCCGCCAGGCCCGCCCAGCGGCAGGGCGTGGGTGCCAGCGACGACTGCCGAAGCAGAAACAAACGCTATAAACATAAGCCTGTGGCGCTCCGCGCGGATTTCTTGGATCCGCCTTGAGGCCCTCCTGGCGGCGCCCCCGGCGCCGCCCTCGGCGCGCTCCGCGCCTCAGGGAGGAGGGTCCAGCGCAGATCCAAGAAATCCGCGCGGAGCGCCGAAAGTGTATGTTCATGCAGTTTGTTTTTGTTCCCCCTTCTAGATTGTGCAACTCGGAATAGGAAAAAGACGGCCGCGAGCGAGCGCGGCACCGATCCTCCTCTTAGTTTCTTGGATCCGCGTTGGACCCCCCGTCCTCTTGGCACGCCCAGCACGGGTACAGAAAAAGGACGATGCCCAATAGCATGATGTGTTACCCAGCACCGGCAGCGGCCGCGGTTGGGCAATCGACTTTTGTGACAGGCGGGCAACGCCCGCGACGACACCGACAACTAATCCGTGTCAGCTTGGACAGGACCTGCTGCCGGTCGTCGTGCCAAGTAGTTCCGTACCCATTTCGGTCGTTCTTATCTCTAGCGCGCGGAGTTCTGGATGTGTACGTATGTGTATGCAGAGTTAGGAAGGCCGAGCGGTCTTGCGTTTTCCCTACGCGCGCGTGGCCGCATGAAAGGCTCGATGTTGGGGGATAACATTTGGGGGCAAGGCGTGGGCGCCATACGTGGGCGTGACACATGGGGGCAGTGCATCGGGGGCAATACTTGGGATTAGTCCATGGGATCACTAGCTGTGGCCAGAGCATCGGTGGCAAAACATGAGGACGACAATCGGGGGCAACACATGGGGGCAACTCTTGGGGGCAATGCTCATCCGAAAGTGCGGGGTGCTACGTAGTTGTTTTTTCCGACCTCCTCCTCCTCCTCCTCCTTCTCTTCCTCCTCCTCTTCCTCCTCCTCCTCCTCCTCCTCCTCCTCCCAATTTGGTGCCCAGAGTTATCGCGGGCGGGCGCGTGGACGCGCAGTTGCCTCGGGGGGTCTCTTCCTGCGGGGAAGGGGGCCATCGCTGGGCACCTGCGGAGCCAAGATCCTGGTGGAAGGATGTGCCGAAACTGTCTGTGGGCGGCATGCGATGACCCACCCGAGGCGGCCCGGCACTTGTAAGGGATGTGCCGAGGTCGGCGTGCCGCGGCCTGCGCAGTGGCCCAGCGAGGCGGTAGTTGGAGCTCCCATCGAGTGGGCAGGAAGCGCGAGAGAGGTGTGCTGTTCTGGGCGCGCCTCGGGCCTACTGGCCCGCCGGGGCCGCAGATAAGTTCCCTTGGGGCACCGCACGTGTGAGGGCTGTGCCAAAACGTGTGCGCCGCGGCGCGCGGGCATGGCCTGGCCGTGGGCGGAGGTGCCTCCGTGGGGCACGGCACGGGTGAGGGTGGTGCCGGAAGGGCCGCTCCGCGGCACGCGCAGTGGCCCGCCGAGGCCAGAGGTGGAGCGCTCTGTGGGGCACGACGCGGGCGAGGGTTCTGCCAGAACGGGTGTTCCGCGGCATGCGTGCTGGCCCGCCGGAGCTGTAGTTGGATGGAGGCCTATTGAGGGCACGACATGGATGAGGGCTGAGCTGGAAGAGGCGCGCCGCGCCATGCATTATTGGCCCATGGAGGCCGCAGGTGGGGCCCCCTACAGGGCCCGACGCGGGTGAGGGTCGTGCTAAAATGATTATGCCGCGGCATGCGTATTGACCAGCGCAGGTCGTAGGAGGAGGCATATATTTGGCACGAAGCGTGTAAGGGTTGTGCCGGCATGGGAGCGCCGCGGTGTGCGAAGTTGACCATCGGGTCCGTGAGGGGAGTCCCTTGTTGGGCACGAGCTAAGCGAGACTAAGCCGAGATGGACGTTCCGCGATATGTGAACCGACCCATTGAGGCCTTAGTTGGGGCTTCCAATGGGGCACGGCACATGTGAGGGGCATGCTGAAGTGCTTGCGCAGCGGTCTGCAATTTCTCTTTAGACACGCTCCGCGTGAGGGGTGCGCCGAAGTGGACGCACTGCGGCGTGCCGGCTTCACATCTAGGGCTGTGGGTGGAGCTTGCAGTGGGGCAAGATCCATGTGAGCGGTGTGCCGAAATGGGCGCAGGGCAGCGA